TCTGATGCATAGCAAGTGATTACAAAGATTATGGCATATATCAGGCACCCCTTAGTCTCCAGAATGACATTGTTGCACTTCAGTACTTTAGAGAGGTCTCTAACCGCAGACTTTTTCATCCCGATACATCTTTTAATTTCCTGGCTTATGGTTCCAAGAGTGTTGACTGTGGAGCGAAGCAAATCAAACTGTGAACAATCTCAATCTCTTCACCACCCATCCTGAAGCTGCCAATTGGCCCAGTGGTGACAATCTTTGTTTTTATATTGAGCCTCAATCCATACTGAAGACAGCAGTCCCTGACCTCCCACAGCAAGTGCTTCAGGTCCCCCTCAGCTACAGCAAGCAGGGATGTGTTATCTGCATAATCCAAGTTGTTGCCGAGTCTGCCTCCAATTCTGATGCCGCATTCTTCATAGAGTCTGGCTTCACACATTACTTACTCAGCATACATACTGAGTAGGTATGGAGAAAGCATACAACCCTGATTCATACTCTGATTTTAAACTATAGTGTTCCCTCATTCCTTTCAGACAACAGCTTCTTGGTCTAGGTATAGATTTTGTATGAGCATCTGTCTTCTTGAGCTGCCCTTTGAAATCCACTTTTTATCATCTTTTCCCTTTGTTTTGGCTTCTCACTCTTCTGACATCTTCATTCTGACATTCATTTTCTTTTGCCTCCTGTCTTTGTTATGACCTTTTGCTCTCTTCATGGATATCCTTGATTTCATGCCACAGCTCTTCTGGTCTTCAATTACTGGTGATCAATGCCTCAAACCTGTTCATAAGATGACTTTTTAATTCAGGTGGGATAGATTCAAGGTTGTATTCTGGTGCTTGTAGATTTGTTTCATCTTCTTCAGTTTCAATTTGAACTTGTACATGAGTAACTGGTGGTCTGTTCCCCATCAGAACCTCACCTGATTGTGACTCCTGATATTGAGCATTTCCAACTATTCTTTCCACAGATGTAATCAATCTGATTATTGTGCCATTTTTGTTAGGTGAGTTCCATGTGCAAAGTCACCTTCTGTGTTTCTTAAAAAATGGTATTTGCTATGAATGAATCTGGGCTCAACTCTCCTGGAGAGGCAAAAAGTCCACCTCTCTACAACCAGGAGAGAATAAAATAGATGAATGGGACCTTCTAAGAATCACATCCAAAAATTTCTCCAACAGGGTAAAAAGGGAAGTCACAGACTGGGAAAAAATACTTGGTAATGACATGTCAGATAAGGGACTTATATCTAGAATTTATAAGATACTCGAGCACCACAACTGAAAAATGGGCACAGAATATGCACAGAATATGAACAGACACTTCACCAAAAAAGACATTCAGATGGCCAACAAATACATGAAGAAATAATCAAAATTCCTAGCTTTAAGAGAGATGCAAATCAAAACAACTATGAGATATCATGTCACCCTAGTAAGAACAGCAAAATTTAACAGAGCAGCAAACATCAAATGCTGGTGAGGTTGTGGAGAAACTGGAACTCTCAGTCACTGCTGGTGAGAGTGTAAAATGGTGTAACCACTATGGAAGGCTGTATGGCGCTTTCTCAAAAAGTTCTCAAATAGAAATACCATTTGACCCTG